CAGAAGTGATAGCGATTTTAGGGCTTCCTCTAGATGAGCTGATTCTAAAGTGGACTCATGGCAAAATGTATGGAAACCGCTGCTGTCGATAATTTTTAACAAAGAATTATTTAATCTGTTTTCCCATTAAGCTATATAATAAACGATTCTCTGCATTTCATTAATTTGTAGCCTTGGCTACTAATGTTTAAAATTATTTTATTACTAGTAACAGCATGAATTATAAACAAATAGCTAAGTTATTGCATTTTATTTTCCGGCTGTCGAAATGCGCGACGCTACGAGCAACGTTTTGAAACCAAAACCTAGCAATCATGAATCAGAACTAGAACTAGTTGCCATTCAGCATAAAGAAATTTAAATATAAATAGAACTACTTATTGCCATTCAGCATAAAGAAATATAAATATGAATATTAACAAAATATTAAAGTTAATTTTATAAAATAATTAAACACATGAACAAATATATGAAATAAAAAATAATTATTTCTCATGCAATAACTGGGCCACTACACTACTCCCCCACCAGTAACTAAGTTACGTTACGAAGATGGAGAAATAGGTAGTAACTAGTATTGCAGTGTTAACCACTATCAAAATAATTTAGTCAGTCCTTGAATCTAACAGGTAAACGTATAGTTCTGCCTGTGCGAGAATGTTTTTGATTCACATCCGAATTTGAGTCCGGTCTCTGCAAATTACTGTAGTCAGGTTGTATCAACTGAGAATTTTCCTCAGCTAAAATATATGCTGGTTTCAAGCGATCCAGGGATACATTAACATGTTTTCCTTTTATGCTAATAGTAAAATATTTGTCCCTGCGATCAATAACAGGAAATGGTCCTTCATAAGAAGGTTCCAAAGGTTTTTTTTTACCCGATCTATTCGCTGAAACACATGAGAACAAGTTTTTAAGTCTTTATGTACAAATGTCCGTTCAGATGAATTTTTACGAATTAGTCTCGGTCCAACAACTTCCATCTGTTTCTGGAGTTTATTAGCAAAAGTCTCCGATGCTGTCTGGATACTTGGTTCGCTGAAAAACTCGCCAGGAAGTCTGAGACTCTGGCCATAAACTACTTGCGCAATAGAATGATTGGTATCTTCTTGAATAGCAGTTGAATACGTTTACAAACCCAAAAGTACTGTTGGTAACGTGTCCGTCCAAGATATGTTGTTGTGGGCTTTTAATGCTGTTTTTTAATGTTCGATGAAGGCGCTCAACATTGCCATTACACGAGGGGTGGTAGGCAGTAGTGTGTTGTAAATTGATGCCACAGATTTTGGACAAAGCTCGTAATGTATCACTTTTAAATTGGGATCCACGATCACTAATGAGTTTACTTGGCGTTCCGAAACGCGCAATCCAGTTGCTATAAAAGGTTCTTGCGACGTTCTCAGCAGAAATATTTTCTAAAGGAATTGCTTCCATCCAATTCGAAAATCTATCTATGCAAGTAAGACAATAAATATTCCCTTTAGATGGTGGAAGTGGTCCTATGAGATCGATATGGATGACAGAAAATCTTCCTGGTGGTACTTCAAACTCACCTAATTTTGTTTTGGTGTGCCGATTGATTTTAGCTTTTTGGCAATGAATGCAGGTTCTTGTCCACAACTGTACATCTTTTTTTATGTTAGGCCAAATGAATTTTGATGTCATTAATTTCATAGTCGATTTTATTCCTGGATGTGATAAACCATGAATTCTTTGAAAGACGTGTTTTCTGAAAGCCTGAGGAATATACGGCCGAACATGTTTAGTTGATGTATCACACACCACAAATATTTCCCCGATGGTAGAGAACATTGCTTGAAATTCAAGGAAGTAGTGGTTTGCAAACTCTTCAGTTCTTCATCTTGAGTTTGTTCATCAGCTATTTTATCATAATCTATCGATGAAATTTCATTAACTCTAGATAACGTATCCGCCACAATATTATTCTCACCTTTTTACATATTTGATATCAGTCGAAAACCTGGGAGATGTATTGAAGTTGGCGAGCATGTCTAGGTGTTGCTTTGTCAAGTTTTTGACGAAAGGCGAATATTAAGGGCTTGTGATCTGTATAAATTGTAAATACTCTTCCTTCTAGATAATGCTTAAAGTGTCTAACTGAAAGATATATGCTTAATAGTTCTCTATCATAGGTGCTATATTTTTGCTGAGTATCACTTAATTTTTTTTTTTTCATATTGTTGCAACACTGAGCCAATCGCCGTATCTGAAGCATCTGTAAATAACGCCAGAGGTAATTCAGAATTGGGAAAAGACAACAGTGCCGTGTTCACCAGGTCATTCTTGCACGTTTCAAACTGTTTTTCAGCTTCTTCAGTCCATTCGATTTTACGTTTGTCCCTCTTTTTAGCTCCCTTGAGATACGCATGTAACAATGCTTGATTCTTCGCTGCATCCTTTATATAACGACGATAAAAGTTAAGTATTCCAAGAAAGGTTCTAAGTTCATGAATTGTTTCTGGTCGTTTGTAGTTAGTAATAGCTTGAACTCTTTCTGGCAAAGGACGGGAACCCTTAGGTGTAATTAGGTAGCCTAGAAACTCGATTTGGGGAACAGCAAAGACAGATTTTGAAACATTAATTCTTAACCCAAATGTATGTAATCTTTCGAAAAACTAATTTAAGGTGATTTTCGTGTTCTTCATGGGTACTGGATGCAATGAGTATATCGTCTAAATAGGGAAAAACGAATTCTAATCCTCTAAAGACTTCGTGAATAAATCTTTGGAACGTTGCAGGAGCATTTTTTAAAACCGAAACTCATTACATTAAATTCGTATAAACCGAAAGGAGTGATGATAGCCGTTTTACATTTGTCTTCTTCTGCAATGGGAATTTGAAAATAAGCTTTGAATAAATCAATTTTAGAAAAAATATTTGTACCTCTTAAAATATGATGAAAATCTTCAATGCGAGGAATTGGGTATCGATCAGGTATCGTCTGCGCATTCAATCGTCGGTAGTCTCCGCAAGGACGATATGAACCATCCTTTTTCGTAACAAGGTGCAAGGGGCTTGACCACTGGGAGTTTGATGGACGAATTATTCCATTGTCAAGCATAAATTTAAATTCCTCTTTAGCTATAGCTAAGCGTTTTGGATCGAGCTGTCGTGCCTTTGAATAAACGGGTTGACCATCAGTCGTAATAAAATGTGTAACACCATGTTTAATTTGTGTAGGAAAAAGGTTAGGTTTAGAAATTTCGGGATATTTCGACAGTAAATCGAAAATTTTTATGGATTTATTTAATGTGGTTACTGAGTAATCACTGGAAATAGCAGCGACATCACACTGGACACAAAGCTGTGTTACGCCATCAATTAATTTTTTCTTATTTATATCGATAAGCAATTTATATTTGTGAAGAAAGTCAGCTCCTAAAATACCTTTTGTGACATCAGCAATTATGAATGGAAACTGAAAATCACGACGTAATCCCAAATCAAGAGTTAGCGTTTTTATGCCATAAGTGGAAATATCGGTGCCATTAGCTGCATACAGTTTATATTCAGTTTTACATTTATTCTGTGAAGTAGCAGGAATTATGCTTACGTCAGCTCCGCTATCAATAAGAAAGTGCAAATTTGATCTTCGGTCACGAACGAATAAACGAAATTTGCGACAATCCTTCATATTTTCTGCAGCAGCGTTTGCCGCTGAACCTACTGCAGATTCGAGTTTTCCTGGTTTTTGAAATCGTTTTTACCCAAGCACACGGAGGCTTGCATTTCTCTGGAATGCATTTTGCTCCAAAACGAAAGTGATAAAAACAAAATTTGCCAGTAGGGTCATATCGTTTACGAGATCGGCTTCGAGATCGTGAACGTGAATTACGTAAATCCGAGTCCCTGCGTCTTGAGCGAATGGTTATTTGATCAATTTTTTGTTCATGAAAGGTAATTCTTTGCAACAAATCATTTGCGGGAACGGAAGGAGCATTAGTACTAAATACTTCTGGTTTCCGATTCATATCACTAATTTTATCTGCCATAGACGCTAACTTGGTTACATCTTCATCACTAACTAATAATAAATTTTTTATGGAGTCAGGTAGCTTCTCCAGCCATAAAGTTTTGATTACATTTTCAGACACATCTGTAGTAGCAACTGATCTCAACTTCTGCAAAAGTTGGCTTGGTTTTATGTCTCCAAGTTCGATACCAGTAATTAAACGTTTAATCCGTACATTTTCACTTTCTTTGAATAAATGTAATAACCTAATTTTAGCATCCGAATATTTTGTGGCACTATCGTTCGTTACAATGTCCCAAATATTTTCGACGAACTTAGGTTCCAGATGTGAAACTAAATAATTAAATTTCGTTTCTTCTGAAACGATATTACTAATTTTGAACTGAGCTTCAACTTGAAAAAACCATATTTCCGGTTTATCAATCCAAAAAGGAAGTATTTTTACACTCACCTTATGAAGCTCCGGTGACTGCATCGTATCTTTCATAGCAGTTTCAGAAGAGTCATTTGTTGACATTTCGAAAATTAATCAGGGTCACCACGATGTAGCCTTGGCTACTAATGTTTAAAATTAATTTATGACTAGTAACAGCATGAATTATAAACAAATAGCTAAGTTATTGCATTTTATTTTCCGGCTGTCGAAATGCGACGTTCCGAGCAACGTTTTGAAACCAAAACCTCGCAATCATGAATCAGAACTAGAACTAGTTGCCATTCAACATAAAGAAATTTAAATATAAATATGAACTACTTATTGCCATTCAGCATAAAAGAAATGTAAATATGAATATTAACAAAATATTAAAGTTAATTTTATAAATAATTAAATATATGAAATAAAAAATAATTATTTCTCATACACTAACTGGGCCACTACAAATTATTTGAGTTTTGAATTAAAGCTTATTTTTTTATTATTTATTATTTTACTGGTCTAATTATTATTTTTTTTTTTTCATTCCATTGGTACAAAGCCGTAGCAGGTGCAAAACTATGAACCGATGGGACATCTGTATTGTTCAAGAATCTTGGGGGATTGGCGGGAACTTTGGGGTAGTTTTCAGACTAGGATTATTTGCTATTAAAATCAAGACTTTTATGTTCAGTTTTTTTTTTTTTTTTATGTAACATTGCAAGAAAGGTAAATATACTCTATACGCGTATAAATGTTTTATCGACTTTATTCTGATATTTAACCTCTAACTGCTGTGACAATTTTGTCGGCATAATTACTGTGAGGGGTAATATATAATATATTTTTAACATAAACCATTTAATTTTACGCAGTTAAATTCATATGAAAAAATGACGATTTTTTTCGTTTTAAGGAACAAAGCTTTTAAAGAACAAAATATTTTATTAAACATGCATGAAAATATGTGACTTTATTAAGCATTACTGTCAATTAAACCATAATTCTACAACAATGAATTTAATTATTAAAAATAATAGATTAGTATATCTTTGTTTACAAAGATGAATCGTAAGATGGTATGCAGTCAAAAGACATTTTTTGAAAGAGCATTGAAGACACTCTTCCCTTTATCCTCTTCTCACAAGGTTGGTGCAGACTACATGTTTTTCTTCTAACAACGCCATTGAAAAATTTTCGTTTTCATTTTCTTTGAGATTCTAGGGTGGAATCAAGCAGTAAAATTATACTTATTTATTTTTTTTAAATTATTATTTACAATTTTGTGAGATTTCATCGTACTTTTCCGTTTCGCTGCCGCAAATCTCGCCTAGCAGGCTTTATTGGCGACAACACACTGTGTACACATAAAAAATGTTAATAAATGTTAGTTCTAAAAATTTTTTATTATTTAAGGCATTTTAATATCGTTTAAAATTTTGTAAAAAGTTAATAAATAAAGACAATAAGTTTCTAAAAAGACATTAATTTACGAATTTACTATTTTTTCATGGTACAACATCCTGATTCGCTGGTTCGTATCACATGACTCCAAGTGAACGTATCACATGACTCTCATCTCACGTAAACTATGCTTCAAAAATTAATTCTCTCAGTAATTATCTACATTAATTTCAAGTTAAATCTTAATTTGGAATACAAGTTTAAATTCAAGAATGTTTGTAATTCTTAGGGATAGCTTACTCAGAAATTATGTAAAACCACAGTGCTTTACTTCGCTAGTGCATTCTCATTAGAATTGATGAATTTAACCTTTGACTTAGCCTTTTCTATATTTTCACCTTCAAGTGAACGTGGACAAAAATGATGTATGTTTTCAACTCAGTATTTAGGGTTACCATAAATAACAAGGTTATCATGGTTTGGTTTGGTTTGGTTTATTAGATTATGGCAAAGCACTCGAGGGCTATCTGCCTTAAGGGAGGGATGCCTTCGTGGAGGACTTTTTAAGGGAAACTGGCTCGTATACACGTTACACATGGGGAAAACCACGAAAACACCCATGCAGCCAACCCGTTCGCGGGATTCGAACCTCGGACCGAACTACCAGTGTTCAGCGACGTTACCGCTCGGCCGCTGGTGGGCCAAGGTTATCATGATTTTCATTTATCACGCCGAAATGTCGCCAAAAAGGACTAATACTAAAGCTGTGCCATGTAAACTTTATATATATAAACTTTATTCAAGTTTTTGGATTTATCAACTTTTTTTATGTTTTTTAATTTATAAAGCAAGTTGAAAATAATCTAAAATTAAAGGAATTTATGTATGTATTTTTCAAGTTTTGGAAAGGAGGGGAGGGAATGATCTTTTACCAGTAGTTGAAAGGGGTGCATGGGACAAAGAAGTTGAGAACCACTATACTAACATAATGTAAATTATAAAGAGTAGAATGATGCAAATACCTAAATACCTAATTGCAAATACCTAATTACACAATATGGGAATAGAAATTCAGGCTGTTTTATGTTTGTATAATTTGGGCAAGAATTTATATAGCTGTGCTCTTAAATTTAGAAGCTTAGTAAGGATGCGTGTACCTAAGCTATGAGCATAGAGCATGGTCTCAAAATAGTGTTTCATTTATAAGCTATATGGATACATATTTCAATAGTATGCTCTATGCTCACAGCTGAGGTATGTATACAGCTTAAGAATGGTTAGAATGGAAATAAGCCAAATTTCCAATGATGTAGAGCTTTGAATTTTCTCTCACTTCCACGTTTACAACAATGATGTACCATGTAAATTTTTTTCTGTCTTTTTTGTAGCTTCTTTTTTATTAAAACTTTTTTTTGAGAGATGTCTGTTCTTTTAATACCATTTGATGGCTCTAATGTTGCAATAATAATAATGTAATTTTTTATATTTATCTATCCTTTCTGTGTTTAAATGAAATTCAAGGCTGTGTAAATGGAATTTCTTCCACTCTTCAACCATGTTAAACCAAAACTGTAAATAGAATGCCAGGTAAATCAAAGGTTACCTATATTTTATCATGTGAATCTTTTCTTCGATCCAATAAAATGCTTTCCTTTTTCAGTGAATTATCTAAAGTTTATACTTTATTCTGGAATTTCTTGCCAACAATATTTATTAAAGTAATCTCAGTGTACCATATTATCAAATTAAATGTAAATATAAAACTATCAGTTTCAATACAAAAATATTTTCTTGGTGCTCTTTTCAATTAATGTTGCCAAAAAAATTCTCGCCAAAAAGGACTAATACTAAAGCTGTGCCAAATTATGATTCCTAATTTATAATGTTTTTCATAATATTGCATAATAAATTTCCCATATATGCTAACTTAAATGTTGAATTGTTTTGGTCAATATCTGATGTATCATTTATTAGTAAATTTACTGTATGAGTAACAGACAGACTATAAAAATGCCCTTGGATCTGCATTTTATAATTTTCACATTAATTTTCTCTTTACTTATTCACTTCATTGCAATAACCTTGAGTCTCACATCATGAGAAGTAATATATTTTTCCGAAATGTTTAATTATTGCTTTAGATATGTGATTACATCTAAGTCATCAATGTCCAGAAACTCCTGAATGTTCTTGCCGACTTTGATTCTTCCATTAACTATACCTTCAGGATGGAGACTAGAATTTTTATTTTTTAGTAATTTCTTATGAAGACCTTAAAAGTAGTATTTCTTGAATAATAATTATAATTTGCATTTTTTTCCATGATAGACAATCTTAAATTATTTAGAAATGAAAATGATAACAAGTAAATGATAAAAACAGCTTTTATATCAGGTTTGCCACTCTACCTGGAAAACCTAAAAAGCCAGGAAAACTCGGGAAATTCAAAAATTGTCTAAAAACATTAGGGAAAAGTCAGGGAATTGAAATATTTTAGTCAAAATCTGGAAAAGTCGGGGGAATTTTCCCCCAAAAAACAATTTTTACACCAATGTTGGAAGTGATCACGTTCTTGACGAATTGTGTATTGCATGAGCATCATTTGGACAGCTAGGGTAGAGCCAGTTTTCGCAGCTCCAATTAGATTTTCTTTTCAAAAGGCAAAACAAGTTTCCGGCAACTTTGGTTTCCAATAACCTCGAGAATCGAGAGATTCACATGTCCATGTGCTGTGCATGTTGAACTGAAGAAAATACCTTCCCATTCTCATAAAAAACAAAATCGCTTTAATCCTAATATACTGTGCGCATGGGATTTGACGACATTATGATGAGCAGTAAACAGCTCATTTTGGTGTTGGTGACAGTTTTCAAAATCATGCCAAGGCCGTACCATATACTAGGATTTTACCACAAAATCTTTAAAACTTTTTTTTAAATTTTAATATATGCCTTATTTGTCATTTTGCATTAAAATAAAAAACTGGTAATCAGTCATTTAGACTAATCATTTAATACAATTATATTTGCCAAAATATTGTTTATTATTGTAATTAAATTTTTTAAATAAATATTGTAATTAAATTTAAATTTAAAGTAATTAACTTTAAGTAATTAACTTTATCTTAACGTTATTTGTAACCTTTCATGTGGCTTATTCCTTCTAAATTTATTTATTATTAGTTAATAATACTTTTAAATTTCGGACAGTTTTCTCTGGTATACATACTCTTGAAACTAATTCTAGCAGTATGATGACATATCATCACAAAATTTAATGCACATATCTTTTGCTTATGTATGCTGCTAAATAAATACAGTCAAAAGTCGATAATTCAGACACCCATAATCCGGAATGATCTATAATCCGGACCTCAAATCTACAAACTTTCTGCGCATGCGTCGCGTTGCATAAGACCTTTACGGCTGAGAATATGCTTGTGCGCGTGTGCAAAATACGTTTATGAGTGCACGTTTAATGTATAACGGACGGTATAAGCTAAGCTAAAATTATCTATTTCAGTTAATGTTGCAGATTGCGTTGTTCCTTAATCTTCGAATTGGATCCGGCTTATTATTTTTTGCAGACTGTTAAAGCAATTTTATAAAAGTAAGCTTGAACTTTCGACTTTCGATTATGTCAAATAGAATTTCTGATATATATTTATTAATATGTAAGGATCTACAAAGCGAAAGTATATTTCGAAGTTCATTAAACAGAAAGTGGAATTGCTGCAAAAAATGAATAAAGGCATATCCTTTGTTTATCTTTAACGCCGCGGCACACAATGAAGTGGAAGTTGATCTGTCAGCACTATCCTTATCTTCAGGTCAGATGTTTTTATTTTATTTGGCTTATAATTCCTTACTAAATGTAGTATTTCATCTCGATGTACTCCGTCTTTGATATGATTTAAATCAAATTCCTCGTCATTATAATTCGCTTCCGATAGCGAAGAAAGTGACAGAGGTTATTGAAAACGAAAAATTTCGATTGACAAATTAGTCGGTAGACACAGCAATTATAGGACTTGAACAGCGGAACTTTGTAACTGAACAAGAAATTATGTCTGTTTATAGAATTAAAGAGAATGTATTATCACATAAAAAACGAAGCAACTTAAACAACTTACATTGAAAGAAATGTTTAATAAAGTAAACAAATATTAAGCTTTTTTTTTTTTTTTTTTTTTTTTTTTTTTGTAAATTTTGATACCCTTTAGATCATAATTGTTCTTTATTTCATAAATTACGGTTTCATATTTTTAATTTTATAATTTCTGCATGCCATCTTATGAGATTTAAACTGATTATCTATAATCCGGAATCGAAGTCCCGACGAGTCCGGATTAACGACTTTTGACTGTATAAAATACCTAGATTTATTTTAAAATATAAAGAAGATTTATTTCTTTCAGTTAGCTGCAAAATGTCTGAAAAAAAAGAAAAAAAAAAGACTTTTTAAATCCAGATTGGGCAGATTCTAATTATATTCTTCAGTGGAGAAAACAAATTCTGTGATAGTTATAATAGCAATGCTTTGGGGATAAGTCATATGTAATTGGAAAATTTTTGTGTTTTCATGTGGTGCCATAATTAATTTACCCCTCAGCACATCTAACATGCACTACAGAACTAGACTGGAATTTTCTTAAAACATGCCTGGAAAACCTGGAAAAGTCGGCGAATTTCATTCTCATGTTTGAGTGGCAACCCTATAATATGATTATTAAAAATTAAAATAAGATATAATTGTTAAAACTGTTATATCTTATAATACTGTAGTATCATGTAACTGATAATAAGATATGGTTGTGAAAAATAAAATGAACTCTTGTAGCTCTTGGTGTTCTGGAAAATCAAAAGATCTATGAAAAGCATATAAAACAAATCCACCACAAGAATAAGGCACTGACATTAGCATCTTATTCTTGTAAATTACATTTACATAAAGAGGAATATCTTAAATTATATTAAAAGATATACAGAATTATATATGGGGAATAATTTTTTTTCTTTCATTTGTACTACAAAAACTGCCTTGAATAAAGTTAAATTTGAAACAAAACACGTTACTTTTTGGGTGAAAGCATTATAATTTTTACACATTCTTTTTGCTGATAACAATTACATAGGTAAAGAGCCTAAGATAATATTTAATAACCTTTAGAATAAACATATCTACACCATATTATATTACTTAAAAGTTTCCAAATTACTCAATGTTAAATTGAAGTTTTGCTTTCTTTAAAAATAAAGAAACAGGTGCAGCAGTTTTAATTCTGATTCTTCTTCAATAAGGATTTCCATAATTAAAATTGTGAATAATTCATGATGTATTTTATCTAACAAAGAATTCATTGAAATTTAATGAATTTTTTTATATGCAACATGTTCAATAATCCCTGAAGAGGTTCATTTGGACACCAGAGAACTATTACTTTTATTTCATATATGTATTGCAGTTAAAAATTGAAAGTGGTGGTTTTTTTTTAAATTTTGTTCTAAAAAATTTTCTGTGTATCACACTATTTCTGTACCGTTGTAAAGGTGTGGTAGGCTTACTGTAAAATCTGTTAAAAGTTTGTATGAAGCATTCCAGATAGACCTTGTGTAATTTTCAGATTTTATCTTAAAATTTTGAAAATGGATCAGTTATTTTGTTCCATTTAATAATTCTTTGCCAAGATTTAAGAATAGTGCCACAAACTAATGACGTCATATTTTTAAGAAACTAAATGTAAAAGTATGTATTGTAATATAAAAGTCACTTATTTTAAATTGTTATTAACCTTCTCTAAAATGACTATCAATAATTTCAGATTAATTTATTCTTTTGTGGAATTGTTCGTTTTAGAAAGCTAGTATTTAGCATGTATGTATATTCAATAGCAGTGCTTATTTCCATTTTAACATTGATTGCTTTCAAAAGTAGTTGTCTTAAGGAGTTTAGTGCATAGAAAGCATTCAGTCTATTTTCGCAGTTTTTATATAAGTAAATCTTAATTGAACCGGAAGATGTAAAAAAAGGGCTAAGTATGTCAAATTTTACAAAAAAAAAAAAAAAGAAAGAAAGAAAAAAAAGAAAGAAAACTCATTTCTCACAAGAATGTCATGCGAATTTGTTAACTCAGAAATGGTAATTTCATGTCTTATGCTAGCTCAGTTTATTTTTAGTAGAAAATGAAACAAAGTTACTGATTTGCTTAATACAATCCAGCAGCAGCTGTATACACATTGGCTAATGGCATTGTTTGAAAAATAGGGCAAAAAAATTATATACATGCTGTATGTTTCATTTTCATGACATTTTTGTTTTATCTTATATACTTTTCCAGCGGACTAGATGTATTAAAACTACTGAAATGAATTTTAGGTGACTGTCATATGTTCATTTGATGTCCTTTTTATATTTTAGAAAAGGGCACTAGATAGATAAGTGTGAGTCTCAACAATTATTCTTATAGGAGAAAATCTGGAGAAGAGATATAGGTAATAAAAAAATTTTTATATTTTAACTTTGCCAAAAAAAATTTGTTTTTTTATTTTGTTTTACAGAAATTAAAATGTTTAATTTTTTTATCTGTAATTGTAGTTGAAATAAAATGCAGAAATTAAAAAATGACACCATCCTGTTATAACAATAAATAAATACAAGTCTATTGAAAAGATAACCTATAGCCAAAATTTTCTTTACTATTAAGGTAGTCTGGGTATTTGAAACCCTATTTGAAAAGTGTATTTCTACTTCAAAAGATATTATGTATATGCTGTAAAATATGTAGTTGGAAAATTTTTGTGTTATCAACAATTTGGAAAATTGTTGTAATTGGAAAATTAGAATTAAATTTTTGAGAAAATAACCGATTGAAAATGAAGCTACATCTCAACAATTCTGCCCAGTTTATATTTAAAAATTTCTTATTACTTTGATTTTTAAAGGAGAAATATAATTTTTCTTTTGATCTTGATAAAACTTCTCATAATCCCACCTTTCAGAAGCAATTCCATATTTCTATACTAAAAATAAAATTTGAGCTAAGTTGTTACTTTCGAGAAATGGTAATTTGAGGGTGTAGAAATACCAAGAAACAAATCTTAGTGTTGTAATTAAAGAAAATGTTGAAAGCCAAGCTACACATGTAAATATTTAGGAAAATTTTATATTTCTGTGTTAGGCAGTAATTCTAAAAGTTACACTAATATAAAATATTTGGCAAAAATATACATTTCTATGTTTAATTATATTTGAAAAAAATAAATGATTATCTCTGATTATCCATCCAAAACTGACAATCACTGGCCAAACCGCTGCATCATTAAAGTATGCCACTCAGAATTTGACGAAAATGTATTTATCTATATGTTCATTAATGGTTTTAGGTGCATTGCATGCATGTAATTTGTGGAGTATTAAAATTCAAGAGTTATGTGTGTTGCTTCTGCTTTTTGTGATTAGTGTCTGAATTGTTTTAAGGAGGGGGGTAGCTTGTAACAAATCAAATTGTAATGCCACTGTGGAGTTTATCTGATAATGAAAGTGTTCCATTTTTTCAGAAATATTGCAATTTGTTTATTAGTAGAGTGTAGAATGTATTCTATGAAGCTAATTTGTGTAATTCTGTGTTTTTTAGCCCAAAGGGAGTTGGCCCAGAAGGGCTATTAATTTTGTTTTGGCATTTTGTGTTGAAAACTTTAAAAAGTCCAAATCACTTTTCAAATTGTTGCCACCAAATGTTATCTCTCTGTCTTATATTTAAAGAAATTAAGTAATGAAGAATCTACATAAATGTATGTATGTTTCTTGCATTGTGATAAAACAACGTTACCTAGAGCCATCAGATTTTGAATATCATACGTCGCCACGATATTATGAGAATCTGGAAGTCCAGATTTGGAATTTATTGTACAGAGTGAACTACAGGGTGGCGCGTGACAGATGCATAGATTTGAAAAGGTCATTGCTCCCTTCCCAATGGTCATAGAGGCTTGAAAGGAGCAGGGTTTTAAAGAGGGAGAGGGGAGGTTGTTTCCCCAATCAAGGTCAGTTCCCAATATGGAGTGGTCCACGAAGCAACATTTGTTTTGTGTGCAAGCCTATTTTTCCAACAGCCACTCGATCATCCGCTTGCAGCTTGCTTTCTGTTTTGAAGTTTGCCATTTGGCTGATGCATTATTCAAAACTGTCTAAACTCAAACCTCCTATCTAAGTGAATATGAAAAATATAAAGAGCTTGTTTATTCTTGAATATTTTGCATTTTATTGATTTTTGAAATTCATGCCTGTGCTGCATGCCACACCATATTTTGTAAAACATTTACAAAACAGGTGAGGAAAAAAAAACATTTTTATCTCCAGCACGTGAGACTGTATATCAGAAATTCTAGAAATATGCTTTTTTAAAATTATTTTGTGATATTGCTGTTGAATTGAATTTTATGTGGTTTAAGCGGACATGATATTAAAGAACATGTTATTTAATAAATAAAAGTAACACACAAAACGTTAAAAAAAAGCTCCTTTGGGTGTAATACAAAATCTGAAAACTTTTTTTCAAGTTAAAACAGGTCGTTGTGTAAATGGAGTGCAGGGCTGAGAATTCTAGAATTCTGTGGCATTTTTCGAAGTTAAAACAGAATACTGTGCACGTGAGTAGAAGACCAGGAAAAAAGAAAGCTTTATCGTGGATTCTGAGTGCATTCAATCCATTACAAATTAGTGTACAAGCAACAATGTATGTAATGCATAATATAATTGTTTTACCTCTCTCTTAGGTCTTCAGTTTTGAAGAATTAGAATTGAAATATGCTATAACCACTTCAATTTATAATATGGATCATTTACCAGTGTCAGTGGATCCAGAGTCAGATAATTCTCAAAGTAAGCTAAAATTTTATTGATCTTTAAATGTAGCAGTGTTACAAATAAGCAATTTGTTTTTATCAAAATTTGTTGTTGTTAATTTGATATTATTCTGTAAAGTAATTAAGTTTATTTTCTAGTTTTCCTACCTGTATTTTACTTTGTGTACTTCTTTACACATAGACTCCAACTACTACGGATTCTCCATAGTTTCTACGGAAATTCATGAAAAACTACGAGCTACGAAAAGTATGGAAAAAACTACGGATTTTACAGAAACAAGAGCAGGAGAACCAGTACGCAAAACGGAACCAACTAATTCATTCGATGATTGGCTGAATACTCGTGTTATCATATATCACGTGTTGAGTGCGTTCCTAGTTTTGAAGAATTAGCCAATCGTAGATCAGTAACTCCAACCGTTAACGACTTATCAATAGTTCCACCCAATTGTCTGTCTCTCCAGGTTCCTCGCTGAATGCGTGTTTAGGCTGCATTCGGCTGCATTGTGTAGTTTACGCGGCGAGAGCTTAGCGTGTGTCTTGTGAACTGTGAATCAGGTGAAAGATTTTTAATCATAATGCTGCCTCGAACGAAGAAGCCAAAATTATCAAAGCAGAAGTTTAAAGATTCATATTCTTCAGAATTTCCATGCATTAAAGCGTCCGAAATTTCTGTGAATCACGCACACTGCAGTGTATGCAACAAAGACTTCTCAGTTGCTCATGGCGGAAAAGATGACTGTAAACGGCATGTGTTTTCTCAAAAGCATATAGAACTTGGCACCGTAAAATCTAAAGAAATAACAAATTTCTTAATAAAAGATGATGATGAAACAGATCCTATAAAAGCCGAATGCTATTTTGTTCGTTTTTTTAATTGAACATAATCTACCGCTTTCTGTTTCGGATCATTCCAAAGAGCTTTTCAAAGCAATGTTTCCGGATTCTGCCATAGCAAAAAAATTTAGCTGCGGTCATACCAAAACTGCTGCTATTGTGAAAACGCTTGCAGAAAATACTGTTGCTGATATTATAAAATCAGTGTGCAGTACATCATTTTCTCTAAGTACTGATGGAAGTAATGATAACAATGATAACAAACTGTACCCATTGGTTATAACATACTACAGTAAAGAAAAGGGAGTGATAATTACTTCATTGATTTCTATTTTAGAATGTACGAATAATACAGAAGGTATTTTTAATTGTATAAATGAAAACTTTAAAAACAAAGGTTTAGAATGGAAAAATTGCTTATCATTTTTTTCAGATAATGCTAGTATATGATTGGAAAGTTTAAAGGTGTAGCATCATTTATCAAAATTGCATCAACCCAAGTATAAATCGCCCGAGGTTGTCCATGCCACCTCTTGCATATAGCTGCAAAAAAAGCTACTGAAAAATTAATTGGCTCAGAAATTGAAATGTTGATAATAGATATATGTTTTTACTTGGAGAAAAGTTCGAAACGGAAGCATGGCTTCAAAGTTGCTCAACAAATTTTGGGACAGAATGCAAAATCTCATAAAATTTTGAAATATTGCAGTACGAGATGGTTGTCTCTTTTAGAATCTATAGCAAGGATTTTGGAACAGTGGGATGCTGTGATAAATTTTTTTGGAGATAAACCAGATAACAGTGAGAATGAAGGAAAGAGATTGAAAACATTAAAAAAATTTTACAGTCACCGACCACCAAATTGTACTTGTTATTTTTGAAAAATACTTTGTTTATAACAGTAAATATTAATTTGCAACAACAAGCTCCTTATATACATAAATTCAGAAGAGAACTTTTTGAACTTTTAATGAATTTATTTGTTAGATTCGTAAAACCATCAGTAATTTCTAAAGAAAATGAAAGATGTTACTCTAACATCTATTCCATTTCAAAAGTATAGTAAACAAAAAGAAAATGAAAATTTAGTGATTGGTGCAGAAACAAGACTATACTTAAAAAAATGCCAAGTTTTTGAATGAAAGGTGAAGTGAAATTGCATTTTTCAATTCTGTGCGAGCTTTTTTTGTAACTGCATGTTCATATATAATTGATAAATTTCCACTAAGTGATCCATTTCTAAAACACATGCTGAAGTTGCTGACATCAACTTGAGAACTGAAGTCTCATTTTCATCTGTTCTTTACTTGATGAATACTTTTCCATCCATTATTGATGAAAAAATGTCTTAATCAAGTAGAAATTGAATTTTCCATGTATCAAGTAGATGATTTGAAAGAAATTGTAGATTTTTGCGTATTGATATAGCATGGGGAGAAATTGCCAAATTAAAAAATATGAATGGGTGTATTAAATACAAAGTATTGCCTTCTGTAATGCTTGCTGTCTTAATAATACCTCATTCAAATGCAGCATGCGAAAGAATTTTTTCTATTGTTAAAAAAATCAGACGGAATTTTGACCAAATTTAGGTCTTAAAACTCTTGAAGCAGTTTTTGATTGAAAAAATAAATATGCAGGCAAATGAAGAACTGTGTTATAAAAAAACATTCTCAAAATCAGAACTTAAGCTTGCTAAGCATGCTACATATAAATATTTTGCATTCATAAATTATGCGTATTTTGTTTAATACTTATATGTATCATTCTTGGTTATTTAAATTTTATTTCCCTGTAGAAATCATATCCAGAATAAAGATATGATTTATAGCTTCTGATTTTTTCTATGATTAGTAGTGATTTGAAGTACTTTTTATTAGTGAATGCTTGAGGAGTTTAAAAGAAAATTTCTAATTAAATGTGCATATAATTTACAAGGTATATTTTTTAATTATTCAGTTTTTTATATGTATATGGGATTTTAAATGTAATAAAATTGATTACAATTAATTATTAATTTAAAATTAATGAATGGTTAATTACAACATACGCTACGCGCACATTTTCAAAGTTGTAAAAATGTCGTTCGCGCGTTGACTACTGACAAGGTTTGCTGAAGGTTGGAGTCTATGTTTACAGTGTGAATTTATGAAAAGATAATAAATGTCCTTTATTAAAACAGAGTCAGGATGAGATTTCAAGATTCCATGAAAAAGCATGCCTTTTACTTTCAATGACTGAATTTAATTTTTCTAACTTTCTTCTTTAATTTTCTAATTTTATTTTTAGTAGACAACCAGATTATTTAACCGTTTGACTGTTATGTGGCGCAAAAGCGTTGCGTTCATTTGTCTCGAAAACCGCGACGCAGCGCTAGTTTCACTGTGCCTTTGTTGCTTTATAATACGAAAAGAATTATTAAAATTGATTGATATTTGTCTAAATGAGAGTGTTTTATTTGACAACATCAAATCAAAATGAGTCCCACAGTTTCCGTGCTTTCTTGCAAGAATTGCTTAGCAGTCAAACGGTTAAAGTCCTTTCACAGTAAATATAGTAACTGATTTTAAGGTGCATAAAGATAAAATAACATTCTATAACTTAAGCTTTCATTTGTGAGGCCTTTAATCTGGCTGTGAAGGATGCAACATTTTATTTGAAAAATTAAATTCGGTCATTAAAAGTAAAAGGCATGCTTTTTCATGGAATCTTGAAAATCTCATCCTGACTCTGTTTTAATAAAGGACATTTATTAGTTACAAGTATGCTAGTTTTAAACATGCCATTTTGGTATTTTCTGATTATTTTTACCCTTACAAAAAGTCACCGGTTCATTGGCAATGTTTTGAAGTGCCTAAAAATATTTGTTATTTTTATGGTTATTGATCTTTTCATAAATTGTACTTCCTGTGTTTTGCAAATAACTTAGCTAGGTCAATAAGGTGTTATGTATGTTACATAACATGAATTATCACCACCAAAATATTTAATCAATCATCAAGCAAACATACACAGAATTAAAACAGCAAGTTTATTTTATTAATTACCACTTGTGAGTGGTTAAATTAAAATACACAAATGCAATTTTACCAACCAACCTGGTCCTGATTTAAAACCTAAAGCTTCTTTTCACAGCGGATATAAATTTAATGATCTAAATCTAATTAGACTAGAGGTTGCAGACTTTACCTAAACTATAACAGTTATTCAAGCACATTACCAAAACGGGATCTAACCTTAACTTACAGTAGTCACAACAAGACTTGCACTAGAGTCGTTAACAGACTTTGCTTTAATCAGGAAGGCTGCAGACAACAGACCAAACTCTCACTCTCCTGTTCGTAAATCTCTAAACTTTATATATAAAAACTGTTTACCTAAACAAAACTGCGTAAACTCTGGAATGAGCGCATCTTGCAGGGGAGGGAAAAAAATAGGAGAAGTAAATTAAATAACATTTGATTGAAAAAACTTAAATACAAATGCCTCAAAATAGTAATCAGTTCCATCTGAACAGTAATAAAAATAAGTGATATATTAAGTTAAAATTTAAGACGTTAATTAAATGGTTTGTTAATCTTTTGTAAATATATATTTTGAAACATATGATGGTAATCAAATAGCATGCCAGTATTAAGAACTCAATGCTAGTGAAATTATCAGCAAATCAATTTTTTCAGTGAAACTGGTTGTTGCTGGAAGTAATCTGACATTCAGAAATCATTCTTACATCCAGTAATCTCTTTGTTTAAATTTCAGAGTAAATCTAGTTTTGCAATATCTGATACTTTTTTTACAGGTAATTTGTCAGATGTGGCCACAGAGACGTTTGGAAACACTGCACTTAAATTTATTGATGAATACACAAGACAGAAGAAAAGACACAGGGAACTTTTCGAAAATTTATTTAAGAAGGTTTGTTATAATGAAATTTTTGTAGAATAATTAACACGTTGACTGCCGTGGGGGGGGGTCACCGGTGGGCAGCACTCAACTACATCGCCATAGGGGCCACCGGTGACGCGACCAACAGTAAAAATACGTAATTAGGGTAAATATTGATACAGATGAAATTTTTAAAATAATAACCACTGTTACTATAATGGTTTGAAGAGTAATAGATCGCAAAAATTTAAATAATAAATCGCAAAAACAGTCTGCAGTGCCTCGGGTGTGAGCGGTGACCCACACCACGAAAAATGCATTAAACACGATTACATAACTCACCTTATCTTTTATAGATAATATTTCATAATATACATCAACTAATAAAAAAATAATGTTGCCGCCATGGGAAACCACATGAAATACGTGCGGCAGTCAACATGTTAACTACCCATGCTTCCAGACAATTTTAATTTTCTGTAAATGTGATCATCTTAGAAAATATGACTATTTGTGAAAGTAGGTGCCATTGTCATCCATCACTTCATAAATGCTGGTACTTGTACTGTAGAGATAATCGGTTATTTTGAAGCAGGAGCCATGAAAAATGTGCTATGCCCTCACCGAGACTCGGACCTCTCGAATACGCACTGACTGTGCTGACCACGAAGGAATGCTAAGAAGGTTGGAGAAATACCTTATATACTTCCCCTTTTAAAGGGTGACTGGAGATTAGGAGACCCATTCCCCAAATCCTGGTGGTGGACAATCATCATTTCCCCTCTTTTTGTTTGGGCGCCACTGTAGACACATTAGGTTTTTTTTTTAGCAGGACCAAGTGCGATGACCATTACATCATGAAAACATGCTAAAAAGGCAGGTGAAATACCTTATAGTAAATTCAATGGCAATTTCAAAGAACATCAACAATCAGAAAATATATGGGTATAAAAACATGCAAAGAAAACAGTTGCTAACTCTTTCAATTTAGGCGGGAGACACCTGCAAACCTGATTTACAAAATATTTCTCCAAACTTTCAGTTATTCTTAAAATTTCTCACGATTTTTATTTAGCTTAGCTTAATACTTTGTTATTTGCACACACAAACACAACACACACACACACACAAAAGTGATTTGAGGCATTTGAAAGCATTTGGTTTTTCTCCAGATTATATATAAAAGAAAGCCAAAGTCGTTTCAGTGAGAAATTATGGCGCACTTTTGCTTTGTGAGTGAGAGCGTATGCTTCCGAAAATGCCATGTTCGAGTTTTCCGGTGAGCATCTGGCGCCACTACGTGTTATCTGGCACATAATTACCCAATAAGCACAAAGCAAGATCAAGATTATTTTGTTCATCTTCTCGCTGAACAGTGCAAGTGCAAATGCTTTCAAAAAATAGTTTAAGAAATTGCGATCTTTTGTTTTAGTTATGTCTGCAAAAAAGGTAAAATACTCATGTGCATTTCAAAAATTGCACACAGATGACTTTACTTCTATTATTTCCTAGGGGAAATGTAATACATTTGCAATGTGTTGCCGTTTGTCCCTGTGATATTTCAATTTCGCATGGTCTACCATGCGAAATTGAAAAATCGCCGATGTTCCGATGTTCTTAAACATGTGTGTACACAAAAACACAAGGGCAACACGAGTTCCATCACAAAAAAAAAAAAAAAAAAAAAAAGAATTTTTCTCTGGAAACAAAAAGGACCAAAAAGTTATGAATGCAGATCGTCTGTTCTCTGCCTTTTTATTGGAGCACAACCTGTGACTGAATGCATCTATCTGATCATACTGCAGCTTTATTTAGGAAAATTTTTCTGACATCAAAATCTGTAAGCAATACTCAAGTGCAAGGAAAACAAGTGACTGTGGTTGTTAAAGAAATGGGTGTGAAAAATAAACCTTCGGTTACTGATTGCATTAAAAAACAGTTTCATTCTCTGTCTCTACGGATGGAAGCAATAATACCGATTCAAAACTGTAGCCAATTGTTGTTTCTTTTTTTAATCCAGTGTCTTCAAAAATTGAGTGTAATTTATTTTCTGTCCTTACTTTAGGACATTCGACAGGCCTTTAATATAGCACAGCAGATTATTAAAAATTTAAGAGAAAATGCAATTCCTATGGATAATTGCTTGGTGCCGAATAATGCACCACTAGTGGTAGGCATGAAGACTGGTGCTGCAAGCATCTTAATGAAGGAAAATTCAGATTTGCAAATTATGAGGTGAACCTGTCACCTCTTAAATTTAGCAGCTGAAAAAGGGATAGCTTCTTTGCCAATAACTGTAGTTGGACAGTTAGTTGATATTTATTTATTGTATTGAAAAGAATTCTAAAGGAAAGGAAAAGTTGAAACAATTCCAACATCTACATAGTACATATTCTTACTTTATTTATTAAAAGTAAGAAACATTTTGAAACTTGTATGTACACTCTGGCTATCTTTAAAGAAATGTTTATCTAGAATCCTTGACCAATGGAACTCACTTTTTGCATTTTTTAAAGAAGTAAAAGTTTCTAGAATTAATATAAAAGGCTCTGTTCAAAGTTATAAAATACATAAAGTAAATGGAGATGTAGTTACTACTTTCATTGTTGAAAATAGCTTTAAGAAAAATAATTTCTACACCAATAAGCAATTTAATTGGCAGTTCTCGAAATAATACTGCAAAATATAAGCGTAAAGCTGGTACTATAAGGCAGTGATTCTCAACCTTTTGACTAACGCGTACAATCTGAACAAAACTTTAAAACCTTTAGTGCCACCTATACAAAGTACTACCACCACCACTCCTGAACAAAGCTCAGATCGCATAAATTTACGAGTGTTAGAGAAAAAAACTCAATCAGGATGTTGGGGTTTTAATTTTTGAATTCAATAGTTAAAAATACTTTGCTTCTTTGCATACCGCCTATTTTTCTCTTGTGTACCACTAGTGGTACACCTACCACCAGTTGAGAACCTCTGCTATAAGGTATTTCCTCCCCAGCATGCCTTTGTGCTGTAATGGTTAACACACTTGCCACGTATTGGAGAGGTCCTGGCAAGGGCACTGCTAATTTTTATGTCTCCTGTTTCAACATAACCTGATAATTTTACAATACAAATTTCTCTCAAAGTAATTAAAAAAATTACTCAACAAGGGAAACATTTTCCAATTACTATAAGTTTATCTTGTGAAGAATGAATTAAGTACAAAGTCCAAGATCCTGACTCATTGGGACTTCGGCGCTTCCGGATTTGGGAATTTTTCCGGATATTTGGTTATCAATTTAAATCTAGCTAGATGACATGCAGGAATTATAAAATTAAAATTTGAAATTGTGATTTATGAAATGATGAGTATTTAAGATCTAAAGAGTATCACAATTTACCAAAAAAAAAAAAGGCTTAATATTTATTTGTTTATTTTATTAAACATTTCTTGCAATGTATCGTATATACCCGCGTATAAGTCGAGATATTTTGGACAAAAAAAAGGCTTCAAAGTGGGGGGGGGGGTCGACTTATACGCGGGGCCATAAAAAATTAAAATAATCAGAAGTTCAAAAATTTCTTTATATAATGCAGTTGTTTTCTTCCCGCATTCAAATTGGACGACTTATCAAATAAGTCACTTACTTGAAGTAATTTCATGACTTAAATTATGTGACGAACTAATCACAGAGTTTCATACTTTAACTAGAGTAAGTTTCGATAAAACGTACGTATAAGTCTTTATAATAGTTATTGTTCATTCATGAAATACTTTTGTTAACAGTACACGTCAAAATTTAAAAAAATAGCCCACGCAATAACTGAACAGTTTTTAATATTTCTTTTAACTTTTAAAATGGGGAAATGCAGGTAGATTTTACGTATGCGAATCTCTTTTCCGGAACAAATTCTAGAATTAAAATTCTAGAATTCTAGAATTTCCGGAACAAATTCTAGAAGAAGGATTTTGATTTTGTTTATTTACCAAGGTATTTTTTATCGTATATTTACTTCTTCTTCTTTTTTTTTTTTTTTTTTTTTTTTTCCAGATGATTTTGAATAAATGTAGTACTTAAAAGAATTTTTTTCGAAGTTTCTCGATCGATTTCGGAAGTGGGGGGGGGTCGACTTATACGCGATATCGACTTATACGTGGGTATATGTGGTAAGTTGTTTTAGTTACTTTATTTTTGTTGCAATTACTTTTTCTTTAATTTCCAACATAATTTCAACAGAAATTTCTTACCCTAAAATTCTTAACCAGTTACCAGCCAACATAATTTCTATTGACTGACTGACTGATTATTTATTGCTGGACTACCACACATTGTGCGGTTTTTCCGGCTCGATCAGAAAATTTGCCAATGGCACATCACATAGAGCTGCCTGTACATGGCACTCCAAGGAGGGCCAAAGGGTGGTGAAGAAGAGTCCAAGGATCACAGGCGAAATCAAAGTTTTTAAAGTAAAAACTTTCACTTGAAAAACAGTCCAATGAGTAGCACCATCTAGTGAAGCCCAGGTCAACTGAAACAGGAAAGTTAAGTTAGTCGTCCAAGCAGGAATTAATATTCTATTTTGATCAGTTCTTCTACGATACCCAGGGTAAGAAAAAAAAAAATTCTGGAGAGATTTCATCTTCTTGCACTTGTTCACAAACTCCATAAATTTGAAGAATAACTTCCTAATATTTGAAATCCGTCGCATCCTTCTTTACTGCAGCAGAATATGATTTCATTGGAGGTCTTCTGGCTTTGGAGGCAGGCATCTCCGTTGACAGCTCGTTAATTGTTGCTTTGGAACTTTGGAGACTAGTGGGCAGATTTTGTTTCTTTGGAGCAGTTCTAGTGCGAATTTTCGGACGAGATTCGCAAATCTTTGCTGAGGCAAACTCATCAGACTTACAATTCACCCAAATTGGTTTTTCCTCCCTTTTCAAAGTGCAAGTATAAGTCAGATTATTCTGACCATACTTCATGCGTCTTTGTAGGTTATTGCAGAAAATCTGCTTATGTCCAAAATGCTCGCATTGGAAACACATT